ACTGAGCCACCCAGGCGCCCAAATCCTGCCATTTTCAACAGCATGGATGAACCTGGAGAGACTATACAAAGTGAAATAAGCCAAGCAGATAAAGACAAATACTGTTTGGTATCACTTATATGTGAAATCTAAACGAAACAAAACTTTCCTCCTAAAGGAGGAAAGTGGTGATTGTCAGGGGCTGGGGCTGGGAGGGAAAAGGGAGAGTTGGGTAAAAGGGTACAAACTTGCAGCTATAAAATGAATACGGTCTGAGGATCTAATGTAAAATGTGGTGGCTGTCCTTGCTGACTCTGTATTGTATAATTGAAATTTGCCAAGAGAGTAGAACTTAAACGTTCTCACACACACAAAACATAAATGTGTGAGATGATGAAAGTCTTAATTAATTAGCTGTACACCTTTCACAGCATGTACATATATCAAATCAACATGATGCACACTTTCAATATCTCACAGTTTTATATGTCAACAGTGCCTCAAGAAAGATGAAATTAAAAAAAAAAAATAAGGCAGCTTGATACCCAGACAATGCAACCAATAGAAGGGAGAGGTTTGGGACAGGTTTCTGTATGTATACCATAAAGAGTGTTGAAAAGCAAAAGAATACGAAAAGAAATTAAAAGTGATGCCTTTCTGCCCATTAAAAAGTGAAAATGGGTGAGTCTTAGTGTGAAACTGTCTCAACGTGTTAGGTTGAAAATAAGCACAATGTAGATCAGTTTGCATTGCTTGCCTGCATTTCTGGGTGTATTTATAAGAGCTGTATAAATACACACACATTTGCCTGTCGGCTCACCGGCCACCTCCGGGAGAAGGCACAAGACACCAGTCACAGCGGTTACCCTCTGGGAGGGGAACTGGGGGCAGGGGAACAGGTGAGGGGGGCCAGATTTTTATAGTGTACCCTGGGGGACTGTTGGAAATTTTTAGCTCATATTAGCAGTTTAAAAAATTGACAAAGACATGAGAAATCAAATAATAGGTAACAAATCATCAGACTTCTAGTCATAAAATTGTTCTTGTAATAAAAATAATAATGAATATTATCAATAATATAAACAATAACATGGCTAATAAACATACTGATGATATTATTCAATATATTGCTATTAAATAAATTTATATTAATGATAAACATACTTTTTAAAAAGAACAAACATCTTTAAAAAGAATAAACATGTCTAAAAAGAATAAATCTATATTAATAATAAACATACTTTTAAAAAAAGAATAAAGATTTAAACAAAAAAGAATAGAAATGAACATTAAGAATCAATGTACTGGGCGCCTGGGTGGCTCAGATGGTTAAGCGTCTGCCTTCAGCTCAGGTCATGATCCTGGGGTCCTGGGATCGAGCCCTGCATCGGGCTCCCTGCTCCTTGGGAGCCTGCTTCTCCCTCTGCCTCTCTCTGTCTCTCATGAATAAATAAATAAAAATTTAAAAAAAAGAATCAATGTACTGGTGGACCTGGCTGGCTCGGTGGGTAGGGCATGCAACTCTTTTTTTTTTTTTTTTTTAAAGATTTTATTTATTTATTTGACAGAGAGAGACAGCGAGAGAGGGAACACAGCAAGGGGAGTGGGAGAGGGAGAAGCAGGCTTCCCACCGAGCAGAGAGCCCGATGCGGGGCTCGATCCCAGGACCCCGGGATCTGAGCCGAAGGCAGACGCTTAACGGCTGAGCCACCCAGGTGCCCCAGGGCATGCAACTCTTGATCTCAGGGTCATGAGTTCAAGCCCCACATTAGGCATTAGGCGCAGAGCTTAGTTAAAAAAAAAGAAAGAAAGAATCAATATATTAATGCTACATATATGTACTCAGCATATATATTCATATAATGCTCGGTGCTAGCTCTGGTTATGCCTCATTGGTTTCTGCCATCCAAAACTGACAGTCTGCGATGGAGGAGACAGAGAAGAACTGAGATGGTTCTAACGCAGGTAGTAGGGCTTTGATGGGGAGATAAAGAAAAGTCAGACAATGACTTTGTTCCTTTTCCTGAGCCAGATTTCCACTCAGCTCCAGGCCAGATCTTGGGGTCTGATTGGACCTCGGCAAAAACTCACTGAAACCTCTGCCAAGTGCAGTGTGTTGCCTGGACAATCTCTAGAAACCAGGTGTTCAACCCACGGGGTACAAAGCACAAAGCAAACTGGGTCCTCCTCTCACCAGGGAGCTATCGGAGCGGAAATCTCAGCCCTCTGTGGGG